CAGTAATATAACTTTGCTCTCTCCACCCAAGGCATCATATTGACTCGTCATACACGATTGTAATTGTAAATGTGACTCAATAAATATTATTATTATTATTATTATTATTATGATGATGATGATGATGATGATGATGATGATGATGATGATTAAATACCTAACGTTGTTTAACTTACTAAAGTATAAAAATGTATGCAGTAAGTAATTATTCCATCAAAGTGAAAGAAATTAAATTATTTATTTATGGTGTGCAATGAAAATGTGCTCTTCTCACAAGCAAATGTTTCGGCTATTTCATTTGAAATGAGTGATGATTCTTAAAGTTAAAAAATCTTTTCTGTGAACTATAAAGTGCAAGTGTAGTGTACTCATTAATACATAAGTTATTGAAAATCAAATCAAATATGATGAACAGTTGTTGAAAACCAACTAGTGCCTTTTTAATTTTAAACATTGGTCAATAGAGTTACATAATTGTCAAACACTGAGCAACAGGGATAAAAACAGGAAATTTAGATTACATTTACTAGAAATATGTTTGAAATATTACCATCAGTTAAGATTTTTTATTCCATTTTGATACTTTCAAAAAAGTTAAGTTAGTAAATAATAATTTGAGAAAGTGGACAGAAAATACAAACTGACAAATATTTAAAGTGTGTTTCATAACACACAAATGAACAAGGTTATTCTGACACCTTTGTAAATTTGAATTATGTGAACACAAAGCTTATAAATATAATTTTTGGTCAATATATCTAGCTTTTTTGCTTGTATTACAAACGTCAAGATGTTTTAAAAGTGAGCTTAGGAAAAACAAAATATTGTTATTTATCAGAGAAAAAAGAAATATTGGTGATCTGCTTTTCTAAATTTTTATAATTTATGTTGCAGGTAAAAAGATTGCTGTATTAATGTTCATTACGTTGATACACCTTGAATTGCTTTTCCTGTATTCAATTGTGAGAAAATATATATATTTTTCCTTAAATAGGTTATGTACGCAAAGAATTCAGATGTTTTATTCACGTCTTATATAGTTTATCTCGAGAAAATGAAAGTTGTTTTCGAACTATTAATGTACATGTGTTAATTTGATAATGAACATTTATTTATTGAAAATTAAGACGGTAAAAACACATTTAACTGACGAAAACCGAAATATTAATGAGAATAAGTTTCCGTCTATGAAAGGAAGAAAGTCTAGGAGAGAAAATATTCCATAATTTCTTTTATTTGCGATTACAGAACATGATTTATCCTAATTCTACAGTTAGTACATATTTCTAACACTTTTGAAATTCCCTCAAGATCTCTTCGCCAATAGGAGTAAAGAATTGTGCCGTCCAATCGCATTCCGCCTACCCCCATTTCTGCCTGAGTTCCATAGTGGGGGAATACGCCTGTGCTGCTTCATGAGCAGCAGCCATCTTAGGAAGGCTCCATCATGGCGTGCAGCCGAGAGGGGAGTGAATGTGGTCGTGCGTATAAGAAAACCAGGCAGTGAGTGAAAGATGAGTTTATGAGTGAAGATATTGGTGTTGTGTGGTGCAAAGAGTTCGTACATTCAGTACGTTTGTGAACATGGCTCTCGAGCTTCAGCTTCACAGTCCTGCAGGTGCAGAACCCGTTGTTTATCAGTGGCCTCTTACTTCGGGGTCGGGCTCGGTGAGTATTGGTGTCTATTATATGTTGCATGTGAAGAAATGGTTGCGAGCGAGGTCAAAGCTTGCCTAAGTAGAGGATCTTTTTGAACTTACTTCCGTCTTACACTACTAGGAGGTCATTTAATTCACTATTACATACAATAGCGTATTCAATTTTTGTTGTTCGTATGTAACCACGGTGGTTGACGCATGCTGAAATCTTAGCTGCAGATGAATCTGATTAAAAATCAAACCAGAGAGATTATTTATTAGTAAATATACCATTTATTAATTTCCTGGTGATTCGTATTCTGTTCCAGTGAAGTTATTAACTCATTTGTGATGTTTTATAAAATTTTCACAGAAGTAGGTCATTCTTTTGTAAACAAATTGTGTGCTTTTGTACATGTTTATTATGCGTACACAGATAGCTGCCCGCGAAATTAGCGAAAAAATTGAAGGTTTTCAATCGGGTAGCAAAAATACCCTTCTCTTAATTGTTGCTAAATGTCTATTTAGCATATTGTTGAACGGGTTAAGATTGATTGTTAATGTTTCTCGACGATATTAAGACGATGCATTTTTTAATTCTTTTTCTGGCCTACGTTTCTTTGTCAACAGTTGCATAGCTCGACGATTCGAAAATCAGGTTTCCCTTGTAGCTCAACTACCCTCTTGTACAAGTAGTAACACTATTGAGATATTTGCTCCATGAAGTCCATCGATTATTGTAATGTAGTATGTATTACAGAGTTGTTGATATGTATAACACTTATATTATTATAACTTATATTTTTTTCCTTTTAGGACAAGCACGATGGGGCCCTTGAGATTGTTGAGACAATTAGGTAAGCAGTGATTTTTAAATACATGTATATTTCCCGTATTTTTCCTTGCCGTTTAACTAAGCTATCTCGTATAAGTTTGCAATCATAGAATGCAGTGTGGTCGTTACGGTATGTGACAGGTATTTAACGATTACTAGTGGATTGCGAAAATTAAATGATGCCCTATAGATTACAAATAATTTGAAAGGAAGTTGAAAGGAACGTGTTGAGTGCAGAGACCGTTATGTTGGAGCACTTATATTTGAAGGCATTTTGAAATGCCCGCCAAGTGGATGCGCAAGTTAGTGACAATATTAAAATCTGCGTTGCGTCTCGTTGTTGGCTCGTAATTTGAAGAACCTCGAGGCTGGAAATTCGCCTGCTTTAGCCAAGGGCGCGTCAGCTGGTCCCCATTGGGGAATTATTTCCGTGACCTTGGATACCTAGCCGAAGCTTTCTGGCCGGGTGAATAACCAGCCGTGACTCCCGGTTTGACCTCCGGGCGCGCCGGCCGTCGCGCGTTCCTGAGCTTCCAAGCTGCTCGCGTCTCGTGTGCCATTCCATTCTTTGCCAGGAGGCGGTTGCGCACGATGCCCTCCCGCTTCTCGGCTCTCCCACACGAGCGTTCACTGCCATTCCCGTCTTCATGCACATTTTTCACACACACACAGACGAAATAGAAATGACAATCAGTGTAAAGTCAGCTTAATAGTTGAATTTTATTGAATCGGATTATAATGAACACTTCTGGAAGATGGTTCTCTCCCACATGCAGCTCTTTTGTTGTGGTGCACCTGCGCGCGAGAAACTAGTGACAGAATAGCGGTCGAGAGACGTGGTTGCTGCCCTTTCCGCGCGCGTACCAAGTGCCGACTTTCTGCAAATTGCAGCCCCACGTTTTCCCCTCTCCCCCTTTATTTTTCATCCTGGTACTTACGCAAAAGCGGAATAGAAGGCGCCTGTGCGGGGGGGAGGGGGCTACGAGCCAGTGCAATGCACCTGTCGGCGGCCTGCGGAACGTCGACCGCTCCGCTGTTTGCGCGCGCCCGTAGCGGTGCACGCAGGCCCGGCTCTAGGCTCGACTGGAGCGGTGCAGTGATCGTTGGCCAAGTTGGAACACGCGGCAGTTAATCGGGATTATCGCTGCAATTTTTCGAAAATACATTCAAAATCTTTTTCACGATTCTTTCGACTGGGGAGTGCTTGGAGTATTTTATTATGAACTGCACTAGTGATTAGTGATTATTTTTGCGTAAAGACAAATTAAAGTGGAGAATGTGATGTGGCCAGTGAAATTTTGTAAACGACTCGTTTTACAAATTTATGAGATTGAAACCTTAAAACAGCCATTTTCAAATACTCAGTTGCCATTAGATTCATGCATTGTTCTTTTTAGTCGTTGATTAGTCATTTCTGATTTCGGAATGAGTGTTTTGCGTAATTCAAAGAAAGTTGGCGCTGGCCTTCCCCAATTCCGTGTAAATGAGAGGCGGTCTCGTGATGTAGGTAGGCCACGCGCTGGCCGCTTCCCCCGATGACAGCTGCTCGTCCCGCCCCGGGTGCGCGATTGTTCCTGGGCCCTTTCGAGCCCCGCTGCTGTTCCCTCTGGAGGAGGAGGAGGCGGCGGCGGCGGCCATGCTTTTTTATCGCGTTCGTAACAATTCCTTGAGAGACCCGTATGTGAAAATTGTGATTAACATCAACGCGCAATGGTTAACGTAGATTTATTCAGTTTTCTTTATAACGCGACCGAATATTTTCTTGAATTGGCAACCTGTTTGATTGTAAAGGTATTCTTTATTTTCTTGGAATCATCCTAGACGTCAATTGTTCTTTTCAGACACGCCACACCGCATGGAGTGTTGTTTTGGATGACAGTGTTTTCGAAAGTGCTTATACCGGTCTACAGCGTGCTGTTACAGGATACGCCATAATCCTGCCAAAGAATACATTAACGTTTAGCAGTTACTTCACGTGCCGCTTACTTTCTCTGCTCACTCAACTTCCGCCGATTGGGTTATCCGGTCGTAGGATGCAGATGTTTTCCCTCGAGACAGCCATAAGTTATATATTATTGTGCTTATATTATTGTAATATTATTGACTTAAAGTAACTTTTTTTATTATCAAATTCTCGAAACGACGCAATTTGTCCATTATTACTTGATAAGTGCTGTGTTGCGTGCAGTTGTCAATAGAGCTCGGTTGTTTCTCTCCCATAAGCTCATTGTGATACAAAACGTAATTAACGTAAAAACGGGGAACGCGTGTATTGTTTGTGAAAGCTTCCCAATTTGTGTCAAAGAAAACTTTTAAAAAATGTTGGGAGGGGCTTAAGAAAGCATTGACACGAAATACAGATTGTAGTGTTCAGCACGTGCCATGTGCCTCTGTTGGTGTGTGCCAAAAAGGTATCTCAGCCGGAGCAGTGAATCATCCATCGGCCTTTGTGTCCGCGCCGTACAGTGGGCCGAAATACGCCTGTATGTACGCAATTCCCGCCTTCCCAAGAAGACAATGATTTTTTTAAATTAAAGTATTTCTACCCGTATATAATATTACAAAGTAAATTGAGACGTTTTTCCATAAATGTGAAAATTATATAAAATGATTTATGGTGTAGGTGTGCACGCTATTTTGAAGGTGTTCTCTTCTCGGCGTGTTTGGGCGCATTTTGGAAGGGGGCGTCATTAGCCTGTCGCTCGCTCGCTGCCCGTGGCTCCCGTTCCCAGAGCCCTCTGCCTGCCTGGGAGCGTTATTCGGAGAAACAGAGGCGCCGGGATGACTTGCTGGAAGGACTCTCCTGCCTTCGATTCCCAAGAGATTTTTGTACGAGGCGAGAGTTCTTCAGTCGTTCAGGTCGCCTTGTTCTCTGCGCTGGAATTCACCATGCCCTGCCTAAGTGATCAAACCTTGAATTTTGTGATGTTTGAAGCGTCTGTAGCATTCTGACCATTGTTTTTATAACGTGGGCGAGACATTTGACGATTTGCCGTATGTTTTTTAACCAGTGTGAACTCATTTGCTGAGTTTGTGTTAATGATCCTATTAAATTGCTTTTAATTGAAAGTAGAGTATTCAATACGAACTTAATGTGGTAGGCGCACATCGAATAGTGGCGGTGAATATTCTCACGGCTGGAGTGAACGTGGGGATTGATAATGGGAAACTTATTTCCCGATTTGCTGTATTCCACGTGGCCAATTCGCGATTTTACATTGCTGACAGTTACGTGCAGATAATTTGTCCATTTGCTATCGGTCCAAGGTAACTGCACCGGATTGACTATTTCGTGTGGGTTTCCTTCCGAAGGGTCGTTAAGATTCAGAACCTTTTTTTGTCTCATCTTGGGCTACTGTTTTTCCACCCATAAATTACATCAGAGTATTGTTAATATTAAAACCGTCCGCTGAGTGCATGCTCCTTACAAGGGGTGTACACGCGCCAAGCTCTTTTCGTGTGGCGCGGGCAGTGCTTTGTGCCTGCGCTACGCCTGGGGCGGGAGCTTCGTGGAAGGGCGCGGGGCAGGTGGGCAGCGCGGCGCGCGTGACGCAACGGGCCGCTGCCGCGTTTCTCTTCCTCTGCGCCCGCCCGCCCCGCGCCGCCCCTGGGTGTAGTGAGATGGCGGCTGCCGTAGGGCATCGCGATCTCGGCTTTGGGAGTTCGCTTGTTGGCCAACGCCTGTTTTCATGGGCATGCGCTCGACCCTGAAAAGATGTCTGCAATAAAAGCTTAAGAGTCTTAAAAGCTTGAAGTGTATTAGTACGTATAAATAGGATTTCTGAACATGATTGCTCATTCCAATACATGTTTTTAGTAATTTATTTTCCATTAAAGTATATTATTAAAGTTGTTGGATGTGACTCTCATATGATTCAGTAATGTAATAGTTTTTTAGGAAAATGTGTAGTATTTTGTTATTAAAATGTTCCTCGCAATCTATCATGTAGATCAGAATTATTGTCATTCAATTGGTTGTTCAGTATCCCCCAGCTACTTACCAAGTTAACCAAGGAAATTGTAAACTTGCGTTTCTTAAAAGCAAGAATTTGTTTTTGAATTACTTTGTGGCTTTGATTAATCTTGTATGGCGCACGGTGGCGATAGCTGCTCTGTATTAGGTTCTTGAAGATCCCGAATCGTCGGTTTTTATCTTCCCTGTTTCCCTTTGTTATTTTCTAAATTTCTTAACGTCACTGGATGATTTGCAAAACGTTAGGTGTGTACATTTCCCCCGAAGAATGTTTACCCTTGGTATAAGTAGTTATAGTGGCTGCTTTTCGTCCGCTTTTTTAATTGCCGTTTGGAGTGCGTTTACTGGATAAAGTTCTGAATTCTAGTCGTGTTTCCTTCTTGGCGATTACAGATCGAACATGGAAAATAACTTCACTCATTTATTAAGGTATTTATTGTAGTTAGCAATCCACCTTGCGCGTGGAAAAACGTGCTCTGGCTCTTGCTCAGCCCGTTCCCCCGGGGCGCGGGGGCTGGCGCGTGGTGGTTTATCCAGTCGAGAGTTAGAACGTCACCGGAGCGACATTGAAGCTCCCGATTGAAAGAAACTGTCAATTTGCTTGAGGCCGAGTGGCGAAAATGGCAGCGCACATGAAGTGTGAAGAGCGCGTGTGGCGCCGCCGCTTGTTGGATTGGTTTCTTCGCTCTCCCCGGACCACGGTAGTGGCATCTGAAAATAAAATAAATGGGTGGTAACCAGAAAATTCTGAAAAAGCTTTTGTAATTCAATATCTCTGTACAGTCGTTGGGCTTGGTCATCATTAAAGCCTCGCAATTACATTGGCACAGTATTCTAGCCTATTATGAATAAATTTTCCCTAAATTTCGGGACTGCCCCTTCTCCCGCCGTTCTTCACCCGCGCGAGTGGGGGCGCGAGCGTGTCGCGTGGCGAGTCCTCCCACGCGTGTTTTCGCCCCGTCGCGACGGCGGGCGACCGGATGGGCGGATGGCGAGGGCGAGCGATAAGGTAGCCGCCGAGAACAGCGCGTTGTTTGTCAATAACTTGG